CCTGGAATAAAGACCATATTTCCCAGTAAGATGAGGTTTCATGATTAAGATCTGGGCTGAGGAACAAACATGGAAGTGCTGTGAGCAACTTCTGGGAAGTTGTTTGTAGGTCAGAGTTTGGGGTGTATAGGTTCTCCCTTCTGGGTTGCAGGTTGATAGCTCAAGTTCAAGTAGCCAGCCTGGATGATGAAGTGGAAGATGTGTTTGTAGAATAAGAAAGAGAGGGGCTGGAGAGATGGCTTAGTAGTTAAGAGCACTGACTGCTCTTCCAGAGGACCCGGGTTCAATTCCCAGCACCCACATGGCAGCTTACAACTGTCTGTAACTCCAGTTCCAGGGAACCCTCACACAGACATACACACAGGCAAAACACCAATGCACATAAAATAAGAATACATCTATTACTTAAAAAAAAAGAATAAGAAAGAGAGCAGCAAGATGGAATCCTAGAGCTCTGATGATTTGGAATTGTCATCTTATCTCTATAATATTCATCTTTAGTCCTTACATGAAAGAGAAATAAGTTTCTATTTTTGTTTCAGTTACTGTTATTTCTGATTTCTATCCTTTACAGTTGAATTGAGTTGAAACTAACAGAATATAAACAGTAAAGGAGGGTTAGGAATTCTGGGCTCCTGAACCCAAGTACAGAACTATTATGTTTCTGTGTGTGTGAGCATGTGTACATATTTGTGTGTATGCAGGGGTGTGTGTGTGTGTGTGTGTGTGTGTGTGTGTATGTATGTGTGTGTGTGTGTAGGTAGGTAGGTAGGTAGAGGGCAACCTCAGGTGTGATTTGTTGAGGAATAGTATTTTAAGGTGTATTACTTTTGTTCATGTTGCATTTGTTTAACTCTGTGAAGCTGTGTACTGTGCCTGTCTAAAATACCTGATGGTCTTATAAAGAGCTGAACAGCCAATAGCAAGGCAGGACAAAGGATAGGAGGGGCTGGCAGGCAAAGAAAATATATAGAAGACGAAATCTGGGAGGAGAGATCTAGGAGCCAGAGAAAGAGGAGGACATCAGGGGCCAGGCACCCAGCCACACAGCCAGACATGGAGTAAGAGTGAAAGTAAGATTACAGAAATAAGAAAAGGAAAAAGCCCAGAGGCAAACGGTAGATGGGATAAGTTAAGAAAAGCTCGCCAGAAACAAGCCAAGCTAAAGATCAGGAATTTATAATTAATGTGTGATTTATCTGGGAGCTGGGTGGCAGGCCCCCCGAAAGAGTAAGAAACAACCAACAACAGTCATTCCTTAGGCATCATCCACCTTTTCCTTGAGACATGGTCTCCAATGGCCTAGAACGTATCTAGCTCAAGGGAATGGACAAGTGTTTCTCCCCAGCACTGGGATTACAGGCACATTACTATGCCTGACATTTAGTTTGTTTGTTTTTGTTTTTTTTTTAAAAAAACATGGATTCTGCAAATCACACTTAGGTCTTCATGCTTACAAAGTAAGCAGTTTATTCACTGAACTATCCTCCCAATCCTTATTATGCTTATTATTATTAATAATGAATGTCAGGGCTAGGGGTATAACATGGGAACAGAGTGCTTACAAGCACAAGGCCCTGAGTTTATTTCCCAGCAATGCAAATAATCAAACTAACAAGTGAAATAAACATTAAACTGTGCTTAGAGTTTTGTACATACTAGTTGCCAATACTTTTTGAGTGCTTATTACATGCTAGTCACTTTATACTTCATTGTCACTAATTTAATTCTCATCTTCACTTACTATAGGATATTATCACCCTCATTTTACAAAGAACTAAGATATTGAGAGATTAGATAAAACTAGTCCAAGTTCACATATGTTGTAAGAGGCAGAAGTGAGATTGGAATCCAGGTAGCCTGGTTCAGGTTCCTGCACTGTCGGCTCCTACATCACATCCTGTCTTATGATTTGAGCACCTCTTCATCCTCTCTACCCATTTTACAGAGGAGGAAGTGGAAACAGACAATTGCCCAATTATTTGCTTAAATTTACAGTGTGCAAACAGTACTATAGGCCAGACTCCCAACTCTGTGTTCTTTCCCTAGACCACCCTGCTGTCTAGAGGCCACCTGGGCAGATACATAAGCCCTACCTTTTGCCTCCCCTTCCAACACACAACACACACATATACACACACAACCACCCAGTAGGCACTCAGACATTTTTGTGGCCAGGATGGCTACAACCTTCTTTGAAAAGCAGCCAACTTTTGCCCTCCACCAGATAACTTTGTTTTATTTATAGTCCCCTGCACAGAGCTTTTGAACTGACTGCTCATTCCAGAGAAGATCTTGATAACAACTGCTCCTTGGAGAGGTTTCATAGAAAACAAGGTGAATAAACACGGGGAGCCGCTGCCTGTCTAGCAGAACACTGCTCCTGGGGGTGTTTAGTTGGTGTTGGTGTCTGGGTGCAGACTTTGATTTCAAAACAGCAGTTTGGATATTTCATTTTTTTTTTTAATTCAAAAAAGTTCACCCTTTGCCTTTCAACAACCTCAAGGCACAGACAAAAGGGAGATCTTATTTTTAACTGGAGGTACTCCCAAAGAAGGAGTTTTTCTACATTGTGTTTTCTTTACTTTCTGCCTGGCTGGGAGCCTAGGATGTTACTAGTAACTATGAGATGAGTGGAGAGTAGGGAGACATTTTTATGGATTTATAAAGGTTAAAATGGTAGAAGGCATTTCAGAAGAGAAAACTGAAGGAGGCAAGGAAGAGAAAGAAAAAGCCCAGTACTAAAAGGGACTCTGTGAGCTTATGGCATCTTCGGCCTTGTGTCTGAAAGTGCCACCCTCAAGAATGACTAGATCTGACATGTGTCTGGAATCACTCAGCACTGATGTTGATCTTGGCTTCACTAGTTGTTAGTGTCTCACCTGGTGAATATGCCTCAGTTTCCTCTTTGCAAATGGGGAGGGCAAATTCCCAGGAGCATCATGAGGATTGGCATGAACCCGTCCTGGGGAATATTGTGCCTAATTCATAAAGGGCATGCACTCATGCCCTCGCTAAACGGATCTGTCATTATTGCTTCCTTTGTGGGCCCTCCAGGCCTAGAGGCCATGAAACTGGGGTTCATGAAAGTGAGTCTCTCAGGGGGAGGGGGTATGGCAGGGACAGATAGTAGGTTAATGATCTTGGCTTTCAAATAGTTTCCCTTTTGTTAATTGCTGACAGAGACAGTTGTGATCAGAGGAAGTTTCAGTACTGGAGCCCTCATAATGACCAATAAAGGAAGCAGGGGCCCTTGCGGAGCCACCCCACAGGTCCTGTATTAGTTGCTTTTCTTCTGATGAAGCACCTGACAAAAGCAATTTAAAAGCCCAGCACTCAGGAAACAGAGGCAGGCATATCACTGCGTTCCTGGCCAACAGGGCTGGATCGTGAGACCCTGTCTCAAAACAAAACAAACAAAACCCCCAAACTGCCAACAACTTAGGAAAGGCTTAATTTGGCTCACAGACTGAGGGTACAGTATGACATGTGGGGAGGGCACGGCAGCAGGAGAGGGAGGCAGCTGGTCACAAAGAATCCAGTCAGGAAGCAGAGCCAGGAATGCTGCCTGAAAGCTCCCTCTTCTCTTTTAATCCAGCCCATGGAATAGGACCACCCTCCTGAATTAAACTGATCGAGAAACTCCCTCATAGACAGTCCCAGAACTTTTTTACTTAGCAGATTGGTTGTAGAACCTGATTCTCCCAGCACAATAGCCTCATTTTCATATCAGCTATGCCTGCTTGCAGAAAGTTGTCAAGAGTAAGTCTGCTGACAGTTAACAGCTCCTCAGAGACGGAGGGCTGGGGAGGGCCATTGACCCCACACCAGAGAATCCGCCTGCCCTCCCAGCCATTTGTGTGCAGTCTACTCTGACTGCACACTCCGCTGCACCTGGGGTGGGGCTGGCATTAGAGAACACAGATTGTAGTAGATTATAGGAGGTCATCTAAAGAAAATTATATATGTCTATGAGAAAGCTACCATTCATGCTAGGGTGGACACTTTCTAGTGCAGCTTACTCCTGTTAGAAACCCTCACTCATGCTTTGTAAGTCCAATAAACTCATTGGTTCCTCAGGTTGAACTTTGGTGGACTTACATTCTGGTTTGTTACTGGGGCCTTATAAGGAGAGGGTACACATTGTTTTCATATTCCCAGAGAAGGAATTCTCAAAATATGCTTCTAGATTCTGTCAAGTTGAAAATATTAATCACCACAGGTCCTATATTTCTAGGTAACTTTCCTGTGGGTATGAGTTACCAATCTTAACAGGAAAGGATAAGAGGAAACCAGGGCATGAAGTAAATGGTGTGACAGGATCTGTCTGGAATTCACAGGAAGGTATTGGTCTGAGGAGGCAACACTGCGTCTACGCCAAAGTTGCTAGGTGGGAATGAAGAGAACAGAAGATAGAAACAGGCCAGGTAAAGGAAGGACTTCAAAGCAGCAGTTCTTAGAATGTCCTTGCTGGAGGCCAGGAATACCAGAAGAGTTCTGGCTGCTTGCTATCTCTTACCTTTGTGCGGAAGTTACAGGTGAGGACAAGGCTTGGGAACTGAGTGGAGACACCTCTAACTCATCCCCTGCCCCTGGCATGAGGTTAGTTGGTACCTCATTTCCTGGGATGGGCAGGCTCTGTTTTCTTTCAAGCTCCTACCTATGGATGTTTTAAAAACTCTTTTAAGCTAAACTTTACTCTATGGTCCATGAACTTCATTCTTCAAATTCAGGAGCCAAGAACCCGAAGCCTGACTCAGTGAAAGCGGAGTCACTGTGGGTTACTGAGTTAAAGCATATACGAGGGGAGGACAAATGCTTCCTTCAAATTGAGACACCCCAAGTTTTGGCGTGTCAAGAGGATTCCACAGGGGCGTGAACGAAGGTTGCGTCAGTGGCCTCAGGGGTCACGATGGAAGTTTCTTCAGGGCGTTTTGGGTGGATTCTGACGGAGAGCAGTGGGACAGAAGTCTCTAGTTTTCTTCTCAGCGAAGCCCCAGGCCTCTCTCAGGTAGATGAGTGTCTGGCTGTGCGCTTCTAGCCCCGGAGGCCCGCCTCACGGAACGGACTACACTTCCCAGCAGACCCCGCGGTCGGCTGCGCGGGTGGGAGGGGGCGGCGGTGTGAGAGACGGAGGGGGCGGCGCGCGCCGGGTACGCGACCATGGCGTTCGCCAGGCAGGAGCGACTACTTTAACCCCGGGAGGCGGCGGCGAGGGAGCTATCCTCGAGCGGGCGGGCCCCAGCCTGAGGGAAAGGAGGAAAGGGCGGGGAGAGCGCCGGAGGGAGGCCGGTCGGCCGCGGGCGGGCGGGCAGCGCAGCGCCGAGCGGGGCCCGCGGGTCCATGAGGAGGCCCCGGGACCATGGGCTCCAGGATCAAGTGAGTGCGGCCGGGCGGAGCCGGGCCGGGCTGGGCGCAGGGGAGGCGAGGCCGGGCTGGAGCTGCAGGCCGCGGGCCGCGCTGGGGGACTTGTTGCCCTGACCGAAGGGGCGCCCCGCGTGGAGGCGTCAAGCGGGGAGGGGGACGGTTACCATGGCGATGCGGGAGGCTCGGGAACGGGGTGCGTGCGCGGTGGAGGAGCGCGGGTGATCAGATGTCCTCTCCTCACCTGAGAGCGGGAACCGCTGACGTGACGAGGTAGCTCCCTCCGCGGGACGTACCGAGCCTCAGAAAATGGTCATACAGCTGCTGAGAGTGGGGAGGTCTCCGGAAGCAAGTCCCCACACGTGTGTGTTTGTGGCGACCCCGAGAGTTGGCAGGTCCTGAGAGGTTGAAGTCTGACTGCTTGAGGCCTGTGGCCATTACAGAAGTGGTGTGAGGTTCTTTGGGGGGGGGGGGGGCGCTCTGGTGGATTTAAGGGCTTGATGGCCTGCAGAGGAAGGCCCTTTGCCTTTGCTTTTTCTCTCCTCTCAGTCTCCACACAAGCAAGGGCCAAAGGCTGTGAAGGAAGATACCTTTGGGTTGTAACTGAGCACCTGATTTTGAAAAGGTTTTGTAATCCAATCTGGCACATTCCTTCACTCCTTCATTCACTTGGAGTCCCTGGTTGAGGCTTCCTTTTCTGGTGAAATTGTTAATACTTGTTAACTTCAGAACCCACTGAAACATTGTTGTCCTCCTACTAGACTTACAAGTTGACTTTGGAAAGTGCAACTTTTATGTGGTCCAATTTGGGTGTGTTGCTTTGGACTATCTCTCCTCACAGCCAAGACCTCTTCTGGCCACTCCCTCCCCCAGCCCCAGATGCTTTATCTCTCTAATCATTAGCAAATGTTCACTTTTTCTCTATGACTAATAGAGTTGCTTAGGGACAGTTTCAAAGAAAGTTTACAGCATAGGCTTTTCGGGAAAACAGCATTCACAAGACACCATAAACCTCTTGTAGGAAAGTCGGTTGAATGTGTTTATTTCAGCATTTTGAGAATTGTACAGGGAAGTTTGAAAGAGGAAGGGCCTCAAGGGCAAAAATCTAATAATTATTCAGACATTGCTTCTCATGTCCAGGTGATGCACATGCAAGTGTGACCCTTGCCCAGCAGTTCATTCTCTAGCAGTTAGGTTTCTCATTTACAAAAGATGTCTAGTATGTGTTAAAGAAGCTCTGTGATACCTGCTGAATGAAATTAGAAAAGTTTGCTTAGAAAGTGAATGTGGAGGTATAAGGTGACTTTTATTTTTATAGAAAAGGGAGGAGGGGGTTAGAACATAACCCAAGCAGGAGTCTGAGAATCTGGGGAGGGAAAATGATGTAGTCTGTGAACTGTTGGCATTAAAAGGCACTCCAAGCTAAGTTCAGCTGTAAGAGCTATAAACTTGGATGTCAATAGCTCGCAGAAACACTTTCTTAAAGTCACCTCAGAGCTGCAGAGAAAGTGCGAGGATGCTTACTTTCTTGTTCTATAGAGTTCAGAGACTTGCCCAACTGGAGACATCAAGTGTTTGAGTGAACATTCAAAAAGATCAAGCAGAAGTTCAGTTGAGTAGCTGTGTCTGCTCATACTCTTGACAGTAGCAGGTTGACAAAGATGTTTCTTCAGTATGTTTTGTGGGACACATCACTCTAATATCTGAGCACTTGAGCAAGGGAATTTACCAAGGCGCGTGAAACTGTATTAAGTGTGAAGTTAATATGAAGAATGGCCTTATTGATCTTCAAACTTGACTGCTGAGTGGTTAAAAGAAAAAAAAAAAGGGGCCTGGGAAATATGTTAACCCGTGGTGAGTTTGAAAGAATATGAAAAGAGAAGTTATGAAAAGTCGTTATGATTTATAGTGAGTGTTGATTGTGTGATTTCTGTCCATAGTTAGGAGTATGGATGGACAAGTGGTGGGAGAACAATCAATTTGGGTACCACCGTTGTCATTGGAGAAGATGGCTTTGGTTGCTATTGGCTGTTCTGTCAGGCAGAACAAGGTGTTCACCTGGTTGAGGTGGAAGCTAAGTGTTCAGGCCCCATTGAATAAGTATATGGGTAGGTGAGTGGGGGCAGACTGAGCAATCTCTAGACTTACCCAAGAAATCTGTATTTTCTTTAGTTTATCTCTAATGCCTTGTGCCATTACAAGGACAGTTAACATCAGATCGGGGTTCAAATTCCAGCTCTTTTTTATGCTGACTATGAAACAGTGTATCGGTAAATCTGGATTTTCCTAGGGTAGAAGGGACCTGCAGGATCATTATGAACAGTAAACACAAGGTATTTTTTTTTTTTAACCAGGCCCATATTAAGATTAGTGGTTGTTTTACATCTTGCCAAATGGTTAAGAATGTCAGAGATGTATTTTATGCCAGAAATGTCAAAGAAATGTATGTTTCAGGTAATAGAAAACACAGTTTTGATGTTCATGTGGAGAGCAAGACTTAATAATGTTACAATATTAAAAAATAAAAGATTAAAAAAAGATACTGTCTGTAATTGTGAAGCTGGTGTCTGTATGATGAGTGATAAAGCAGGTGTGTTACTGGGTCCAGGAGGTGATTTACTGCTTGTTGAGACTTGGCAACCTGAGGCTCCTGGAGCAGTCTGTGTCGGGCACCATGGTAATGTTTAATGTGAATCATTTCATAAAACCCTTACAACTCTCCACTGTTGCTATTTATTAACTATTGTTTTCACATGAGAGAGTGGGAGTCCATAGGCTTAAGATCAGATGCTAGTTCCTTCAGATTGTCTGCACCCCCATCCTAGGTCAGGTCAGGTGCCTCTCTGTGTTTCTGTAACACTTGTTCATTAGGATGGCAGTGCCAGGTCTTGTTCCTCAATTGGCTTATATTAAGTGGGGCACAAACTTCTTGAGAGCAAGGACTATCAGATTTGTTTTTCAGTTCCTTGTATCAAACATGATTGTTTAGGAAGAATTTATCATAAATAGGGTCTGAATTAAGATTCTAAATTAAGACATTAGGTTCTCAGATTGAAATGTACATAGAATTCAGAAGAGCAGTTTGCTATTTTAACTCCCAAAACTTTTTGTATTCAGTAAGTCTAAGCCAAATTGTCCTGGTCTGGGGAGAATGTTACCTTTACTAATGAGTTTGTTTAGTCTGTGTTTTAATAATGGCACATTGTCTTGCATAAAACCAAACATCTAAGTGACAAAAGAAAGAGGTCACCACTATTCAGGTAGTTCACTTGAGACCTAAACTTTCAGCCCAAGCAGGTATTTCCTAAAGGCATAAAAGGAACAGGGTAAGTGACATTCTTGGACAGGTATGTTTAAATCTTATTTAGTGTTTGAGTGATCCCAGTGGACTGGAATATGGTTAATATGGGGCAGTTTAACTGATAATGCAGATGCACAGCAGGAAACCATGAGGCAGTTTAATATTGCTTGTGGTGACATCCTAGAAATTGCTTCCAGGCACCAAGTCCAGAAAGTGGGTTGTAAGAAATGGAAGGAAGTATTTTAAGTGAGTTCGAAGAGACCTGACATTAATGGACTCTGAGAAAAGCATACTTTAAGATTTGAAGGCATAGGAATGGGATAGGCCAACAACTTTGGCCCTGTGGTGGTGTCTGCATTAGCCCATATGCTCTTCTGCTGTCCCCATTGGACTGACCTCCTTGAGGTTGGTATTGGAGGAATTCATTAATTCAGTTACCCTCCTACTACAGAAACAAGAAGTGTCAAGCACACATTAAGCATTTAATAAATGTTAGCTGCTATCAATTATAGTAGCACTGTGCCTGATAGTATGCAAAGTACTAGGGGTACAAAAATGAAGGTTTTTTTTTTTTTGTGCTGAAGTTTTCTAAAGTAGTAGACACAACTACAAAATAATAGCACCGCCCCTCCCCCCAAACCTAGGCACAATCCAATATAATTGCTGTGGTGGCAGGGCTGCCAGTAATGACTAGGTGATGGAGTGAAGGTGAGACTGGCTACCCTGGGACTGGGAGGGAGTGTCAAGAGAAGGCTTTAGGGAGAGAATGTTTTAGTTGCAAGATGAATAAGAGCCCTAAAGGGGTAAGGGTGGTGATTGATGGTGGTATTGCTAGTGGTGATATTAACCAAGGGAGTAATATGTATGAAGACAGGCCTGTTAGGGAAATAAAAAAATACTTAGTGTGAGGAACTGTGTTAGACATCAGGGATTATAGTGGGGATAATAGATGGTTCTTATTTTTGTGGTACTAACAGTTTGGTGGGCCTGATAGATAAATTGTGTAAATTCACATAAAGTAATGTGGATGTGTTATAAAGCAATTGAGATGCTGAAGAGGGGATGATATCAAGTGGCTATCGTGTTTTGGATAGAGTGGTGGGGGGGGGGCTGGCTTCATTGTAGAGATGTTTGAACTCAGAATTGAAGGATAAAGAGGTATTAGTCCTGTCAAGTTTGGGCAAGACTATTTCAAGCAGAGGGCAAAGCAAGAGAACCCTGGGGAAGATTTTAGGAACTGATGATGTGAAAAAGGATTCAGGTGAGGTTAGTTAGTGCTAGAGTATGCTTAAACTAGGACTTATAGGTCTTGGGAATCTCAAAAATGCTTTCTTAAAGTGGAATTCATATACTATAACACTTATTTATTTTTGAGACAGGGTCTGTCTATGTACTCTTGGCTGGTGTGCATCTCTGTTTATCAGGCTGGCCTTGAACTCACAGAGGTCCATGTGCATCTGCATCCTGAGTGCTGGAATTAAAAGTGTGCAGCACAACCCCGGTCTTATAAAATCTTTTAAAGTAAATGACATGTCTACAGAGTCATGAGTGACCACCATGGTCTATTTCTGGAGCATTTTATTACCCTAGAAAGAAACCGTTAGCAATCACTCCCTATTCTCCCAAACTTTTCCGACTGTAGGCAGTCGTCAATCTAATTTCAGTTACTATAGATTTACCTATTCTGGGCATTTCATATATATGAAATAATATA